AAAAAAAAAAAGAAATTTCTGTTTTCTTTGTTTGGGTTTTGTTGTTTGATGATATGAGAAATTGATTGATGAAGAAGGCAAGGTAGTCGTTGGGTTTTTGCAGGTGGATGAAGATGAAGAAGGCATAGCTGCTGGGTTCGATTTCGAACCCAGCAAGCAATCGAACCTATCATCAAACCCAGCAGCCGCTAGGTTCCTGCAGTGCTGGGTTCGATTTCGAACCCAGCAGGCACTGTGTTCAAGCTGGGTTCCTGCAGGTGCTGGGTTTGAAGGTGTTGGGTTTGATTTTGAACCCAGCAGGCACTGGGTTCCGTTTCTAACCCATGGATCTGTTGAGTTCCATTTGTTTCAAACTCAGCAGTCGTTAAGTCGATGGATCTGTTGAGTTTGATCTATTTATGGATTTGTTATCTGTTGTGTTATTCTCATAATCTTGCAGGTGCTGGATTCGATTTCAAACCTAGCAAGCGTTGGGTTTTGTTTCCAACCCAACTGCAGTTGGATTGAAAGATCTATTGATTTCTATCTGTTGGTTTGTTATGTTATTCTTGGATTTAATATTAGGAAATGTTAGGGTTTGCAGAAGGTGAAAGGAAAGGGAGAGGAAGAAGAAAGGGAAAAAAGAAAAACAAAGAAAGAAAAAAAAAAAAGAAAAATTTTAAAGTAATTTCTTGCCATTTCATTTTTTGCCACGCTGTACATTTTAGGTGTCAAAATGTTTTAACATGTCATCCTTTTCCCCGTCAAGTAACAAGACACGTAAGCAAATATTTAACGAAAAGACCAAATCGGGGTAAAAAAGGTAAACAGTAGGAACCAAATCAAGGATTTTTTTAGTTTAGGGACCAAATCGAGAGTCCGTACAATAGTTCAGGGACCAAAAAGGGGTTTTAACCAAATTAGTATTTGTGTTTCCATAGCAGTGCTAGAGACAAGTGCCGCTTGTACTCGCCAATCAACACCTGCCCATCTATTTGGCCACGTCACGTTGCTATTAAAGGATTGACAGGAAATATATTCAAAAACAAAAGGGAAAAAATGAAAAAGGGGTTGACCGAAAATTGTTGATAAAAGGTTTTTAAAGAAACAGAGTTTATAAAGAAATTTCACGAATAATAATAATAATAATAAGTTTCTTGGAGGAAAAGTTTTAATTTATTATGTAGTTGGGCCATTGTTGTTGGTAGCTGTGCAGGTATGGAGACTTATCCTCGTCCGGCTGAGGTTCATGTGGTTGTCGCTTTCATTCACGGATTGGAAGTTGGGGGGCCAAAGACAAAGCATCTTTGCGTGGTGGTCAAGAATTTTTTTTTTTTTTAAGACAAAGCATCTTTGCGTGGTGGTCAAGCTTTTTTTTTTTTTATAAGATTAGAAGTTAGTAAAATTAAAATTATTAATGAGAGTTATAAAATCTAAATAAAAATATGATCCATCAACTGTCTTTTTAGATAACAACAGTCATAACTACAACAAAAAAATACGAGAAAAAATAAGAATTAAATCTTACAATCAAAATAAAATGTCTTTTAACTATAGTTAAGTGAGCACTTGAATCATACGAACTTGTGGTGGTCAAGAATTTGTGGTTACTTTTTAAGTTTTAATTTTGTTGGTGCTCCTTTTAATAATGTCTTCTTCTTTTTTTTTTCAATTGATTATACATGATTACACTATTGATGTAACTATTGAATGCGTAATTTATAATAGATTTATCCTCGTTTTTCATCCTTTTGATAATTGGGCATCCAGAATAAAAAAGAAAATATGTAAATAAAAATGTTAATTTTATATATTTTTATTTAAAAACATTAATTTTAAAATTTTTTATTTAAAAATTAATTAAGTAATAATATTAACATAACAAACAAAATTTTTAATTAAAATATTAAAAATTAATATTTTGAATAAAAAATTATAAATTAATATTTTTATTTAAAAATTAATAAAATTAATATTTTTAAACAGAAAAAATACAAAATTAATAACTTTATTTACATATTTTTTCAAGAATAAAAGAATAAATTTGAAATTTTTTGCTTTAATTAGAGGTTTTGTTTAATATGTACCGTTAATTGATACCCGTAAAATTAAGAGAATAAACTCAAATGTATCCAGAAGCCTTTTCCAGTCATCCCATAAGCATATTCTCGTTCCTTCGCAAATGGCGTTAAGCACAATTTTGGTGCATTTTTTTAGGAACCGGTAAGCTCAAATATTGTTCCATTTTGTGTTAAAGTGCTAACTTGCTAAAGCTCATCCTGAACTCGTAAATGAGCCCAATCCACCCAAATATAAGACCAGAAAGTTCAGCCGCTAAGCTTAACTGAAATTGAACAAAGCTTCCGCAATGAGGCCGTGTTTGTTTAACTGCTACTGGATTCTGAATTCAATACAAGGCTCCGCTGCAACGAGAAGAATATGGGAAAACTATACCATCCTATCCACGGGCTGCTTGCTTGCTATTTTGATGTCTCCATCTCTCTCAATATTGCATCTGAAATAAAGATCATTGTCAAGATTAATTTCTTCAGAAACCTTAAACCTCTTCCCTTTACATCCATAACAGATGAGCTTGCACAGATATTTTCCTCTTCTCAATAACTTCTGTCGAATGATGGGAAAAAAAAAAAGAGAGAGTAAGGTTTTATTAGCTATTTACAAAGAAACAAAACTACATACCATCTAGACTAGGACCTGTATGTGTTTTGATCTTACTAACTGAGAACTGATAGTTTAGTAACCACTCCTTCTAAAGACCTATATTTTGATTCCAAGAAAGAGATTCAGGAACTAGATAGAAATATGTATCTTACAACTAGAAAATGACTCCAGTAATTTATAATTTTTTGCTGCGTTTTCTCCATGATAAGTTGAAGTCTCTGCATCATTCTCGGCATTATTGCTTAGAAGCATATTCCAGAGAAAGCGACTGGCATAGAAGCGCACCAAGTTTTTACTTGTAGCCTTTTACCCAAACGGGTAAATCGTAGAAAAGAACCCCAAAAACAAATGAGAGACCTATTGTAGATAGGGCATAAGCATATGCTCTCCAAGGCTGATGACTTCCTCTCATTGCATTGAACTCAGCAATGAAAGTAGAAACGGTACTCAAACAACCCAAGAATCCCAACTGAATACCATCTACAACTGTATTGCAAGTCCTGGTATTTACCTGCAACAAACCAAATTAACCTCATCAAAGATACTAGCTTTTAATGTTATACTCTAAGTGGAGGCCGAAAACAATAATAATACTCTTAAGCAAATATATAATGCAAGGCAAGTTGCATAAATTCAAATATTTCCACAAATTAAATATGAGGCTAATATACATTACATTAGGATGGAAAACGAGGGGAATAGGAAGGGACAAGAGAGGAGACAAAAACCACTAAATAAACTTTTACCGCCTTTTTCAAGGTGGCCAATGCTGCCATGACGCAAGCTGCAGAAACATTAGCGGCAAGGGTCCCAAATGGAACCCACCTTAAGATTCCTGCCTTTCCTAATCCACGGCCATTAAGTCGAGCTAAGAACCACCTGATCCACACACCCACTGGTCCAACCAAGCAGGCCAGCCACAACTGAGGTCCTGTGCTAGTACTTTTGAACTCCTTCCTTAGCAATGCTCCACTGAGACTCCATAAAGCACCAAGAAACAGTAGTAACACGACCATTACTGACCAATGTCGACTGTACCTGCTGACCCTCCACTTCTTCTTAGTGCTAGACATTTCTCTTTCTTTAGTTCTGTTTATCCTTTTGAGTAACCAGCGGAAACCCTTAGCTGTCTCAATCCCAAAAATGATGAAACGATCCGCAAGAAACAGGCCTGCAACAACCCATAGTATAAAAGGAGCTTATCTAAATAGTTTTGAAACCAGAAAAGCTGTTCTCTAGTTAATTTGTCAACTTGAGGAGTATTTCTCATGGACAAGAATGGCTTTTCCAAGGACATTACCTAATAGAAAGCCGAATAGAGAAAATAGCCAGCGTCCATGTACACTGAGATCAAGCATATCCTGATTCCAACCACTGAAAGTTGTAAGGCTTCCCAAGTATCCAGTTGTCAATCCAATTACCAAATGGTTAGACACTCTTGATATCTCTTCTTTGAAAACAACCCCCCACCAAGCCATCAAGAAGGAACCAACCTAGAAAAGATATACTGATGAGATGTTGGTTACCCCAAAGCAAAACAAAACCTAATAATGATGAAAACCAAGGATACATGTGAACATGAAGTGCTTTTGCAAGTGCATCTGCGTGCAAAATCTACTATTGATGTATACCATACCATACCATATTAGAAGGAAGATCAAGGTATAGAATGCTTTGATGACTAGTTAGACCAGCAATACTAGGCCCAAAGAGTTTCTGCAACAAATACCTGGATAAGACCTGCAGATTTTCACATTTTAAAAATTAAAACTTTGCTAATATATTATTTTTTATTGAAATCTACATACTTCGTATAATTATACCCCATAACATATCCACTCTAGCTAGAACGAAAAAGGGGATGAAAAAGGGAGCAACAAGATGAGATCACAGTACCAAAAATTTAAGAAAATAAAAAATGTCTGATTAAGAAAATATCTGGAAGAACATCCGTCCCCTCTGCCTCTATCTCCCACAAGATAGATAAATAAATAAATAAACAAAAAAAGAAACCAAAAATTATAGGTTCCTTCAGATAAATAAAAACAAAGGGCTTAACTGAACAGAGGCCAGGTACAGATTCATTATTAGATTCAAGTAACTCTCCCACAAGAATATGTTGTTAAGATTCCAATAATGACGTACAACATGTTGCGAAAGATAAACTGTAATAACTTCCAAATGCATGCTACTCAATTTTTACAAAACACAGTTTCGAAGGGAAGAGCTTGCTCGGGGCCAAAATAGTGAAAATACTGAGTAAAAGGTAAACTGTGTCCTTTGTATATAAGCGAAATGAAATAAAAACTCTTTGAATATTCAAATCTAATTGATCATTTCCTGTTGCAAAGCATAGCTAACTCAAAAAATGTAAAGGTCAAGCAAGTTACCCCAAGAATTCCAAAAACAGCTAAATAGAGAAGACAATATATATACTCCAAAAACAAAGGCAGAGCTTCATCTTCTTCCTGCAAGTGGAGACACGAAGAACATGATTTAAATGTAAATATAACGAAAAAATTTTCAAATGCATGTTCTTACCAAGAACAAGACAAACCAGAACCCTGTGTCTAGATATTTAATCTAAATCGCCATTATAAACAATAAGAAAATCAAGGCAAAGCAAGCTCACTTGATTTTTCTCCTGAGAGCAATTCAGGGCAGTAGTGGGAAGAGGAGATATGATTTCCTCTGGCATTGGTGACACAGGGGAGGTTGCATTTTGTGTTGCTTGATCACGGCCCCAAAATCCATATGATCGCAACATGTTATCTTCTAGAATTGGAAACACTGCACCGGTCTCCAACGCATTATCCATTAAATAGCTTATTCTGTTACTCTGACTATACCTACTGCTATGAAGAGCCAAATCACCAGCATCTCCCGCCAGAGAAACTGCCTCACTTTCAATGTCATCGTTTAGTCTAAAGGAATGAGCTCGTGATATACTCAAAGAGCGCCTTCTAAATGAAGAGCCTGCACTGCTTGTCGCACCAAATGACCCAATCCTAAGAATCCTTTTAGGTTCGATGTCACTACTCGCACGATCCATGGCCACTGCATCAGGAGTAGTGGAGTTCATTTCTCTCAGAAAAACTTCGAAGGTAGTAAAATGATTAAAGTTTACTCATGCACTGAAAGAGAGAGCTGCTTATGAGGTAATGTTATCAAATGGCAGTGCTGGCTAATGATTGTCACTTCTCTACAGATAGAGAAAATGCGTATGCAAATAAGAAAAAATGATTACACCCACATAAATTTTAAAACATAAAAAGGACAAACTAGAAGATAACCAGACAAAAACTGGTGTATATGAAAGATTGGTAACATATGACATAAGAAAAATAACACAAAACATATATGTCCACACAATTAGAATATATTCACATGAATAGATCGAGCCCGACTTTTTTATGGCCTTTAAGGACCACAAATGGTTATCTTAATCAAAGTTGATCATGACTACCTTAAAGTCAAGGAGACTAGCTTCGGTTCAGACTAACCCTTTAAGATTTTCTACACCAAACTAAACATGTTCTTGCATTTAATTAAAATAATCAACTAAATTATTTCAATACGGTATTGTTAAACCACCTTTACAGGGGAGACTAGGCGGTTCAAATCCCGTCAGCGGTTCAAATCCCGTCAGCCTCTGACAAGATTTGGACTATTAATGCCTCAAGTATTTGAACAATCTTGCTAAGCTTTAAATTCGTCCTCAAACCTAATGAGTATTCGAACTTATTCAAAAGCTTGAGTTAATAACTACTTTAATTTAAATTTAAATTTTTTTATAATTTTAAAATGTTTTAATCATTAATTATTTAATTATAAAAAAAATTTAATTTTAAAAAAATATTTTAGTATCAAAAACTTAAATATATTAAGTCAAACAATAAAAAAATATAAACTTTATTTAAACAATTTTATTAATAGTTATAACTTAAAATATATAATTTATTTGAGTTATACCTTTAATCTCAATTAAGATTACAAATTATTATATATTTAAATTTAATAAATAAATATAATATAATTTTAAATTTTAAACTAAGTGGTTACAAATAACTCATAATAATTATAAAAACTTAAACTCAAATTCATTTTTTTATTGAGTTGGATATTAAGTTTGAATTCAATTTGTTTACCAAATAAGTTAAACTCAATTCGAATTTAACTTAAGTAACTTCAAGTCTTACAAACTAATTTACTCATTAACAACTCTAAATAAATACGATACCTTGATTGATGCTATTAATTCAAACAACAACAAGAAGTTATAGAATAAGCAGCAGCAAGCCTTTCTAAGCACTAAAACAACAGTGAGAAGAACTCTTTAACTGTAAGGCGATCATTTATCTGCTCACCTCTGCGGAGGAAAAAAAATATAGCAATATTAAATTCTATTTTGTTACTCATGTCTCATGGTCATATATGGTCTAAGGCATCAAATAAAGAAACAAAAAGAGACATGGGTGATAAAATAAAATAAAATATACGGTATGATTTCATCGACAGCGAGGTCTAAATTCTACTACGTAACTTGGCAGCTAGCAGAACTGTCAAATTTGATTAGCTATAAATAGAAAGGGAAATTTTTCAAAATAAAATGCTACCTAATTACCATGAGATTTGTATTTGACAGAAGCCATAAATAAATACACTCCTAAACATGCCCCACATGGGAATAATGAAGCCAGCAAATAGCAACAGTCTTGATAGCTTAGTTAACTATTAACAAAGAGAAGCCCATCAAAATCTGACACCTAGTTTCTGTCCTTCTTATTATGATGCTGACACTTCTATAATACGACTCTTATACTTTTTTTTTTCTTTTTTTGAAAATAGGTAATGGAATAAGCCTCTTATACTAGCCAACAATTATGTGGGAAAACAAAATTCAATCAAGGTGAGTTTTGATTCCTGGGGTTTTAATTCTTTTTATTTTCAACCAATCCCAAAACCCCAAAATCTTGCAGCGACCAAAAATTTCTATATGGAAGTTTGAAGTGGATCCCACTGCTTAAAGGCACTAGTTTTTCTTCAACACAACCTCTGAACTGTAGATGGATATTTGGACTCAAACTGTTTAGTATCAACTTTCTTTCTCTTTTCCATTGTTTTGAAGATGTGCCAACCACTAAAGGAACAAACTCAAAAGAAAAAGAGAGAGAGAGAGAGAGAGAGAGAGAGAGAGAAAGAAAACTGCATGAAATTGGGCCTGAGCTGAATTTAATAAGAAGTGAATCAATTAATGCATGAATGATCTCTTGTTATCAGTCCGTTAATGGACTGAGATAAAGGCTCCTCGGTCCTCAACAAATGGACAAGAAAGGAAAAAGAAGATATGAAGGGAAGAAGGGGAAGACGTACCAAGGCTTTTTCGAGGTTCTGTTGTTCTGAATCGACGATCTTATTCCAGCCTGCGAATATGAAGATTGCTTGAAGTCTTGGTGCTGCAGAGCTTTATATCAAGTAAATTAAAAAACGAAATGGTGGCCATGTCCATCCATGGTGATTGGCCATCTATGGTGATTGGCCAAAGATGCAGAAATTCCACAGCTGAGGCGTAGAATTTTGCCACATGCCCACGTCGGGTTGGTCCACTTTGACCTTTCCGCGTTTATAACCCACGGGCGTGATTATTGTCAACATAAAAAACTGTTAAAGTTGTTAATTTTTTAATTTTTTTAATAAGTGCTTTAAAATATTAATTAATTAATTACTAATTAATAATTATAATTATTAGTCATTTTTATTAATTAAATTAAATAAAATTAGTATTTTAAAAATAATAATTTTCTATTTTAATCACTTAATATTTTGATTGGAAGCATAATCATGCCCCTAACCTACCATTCTGTTTTCTTTTTCATTTTGAGAAAAAAAAAGAGAGGCTAAAGTAGTGAATAAGGTTTCAAATTTATACCAAATTTGTAATTAAGATCTAAAAAATTTACCATGCTCAATTAAGGTTCTAAAATTATAAATCTCAAATAATGTGAAAATAGTTAAGTTCACTAAATCTGTTGTTAATCCCGTTAACTCTAAACAATTATCTAACAAAAAAATGGATCTTAAAATTTTAATTTTAACTCGTATTAATTTTGAAATATTCAAAATCTTTGAAATACTTTTAAACCTTTTTTATGTTTATGGGGAAATTTTTTATAGGACTCACAACTAAAATTTAAGGTGACACGTATGTGTGCTTCAATCTTTTTATTATTTTTTTCCATGAATGGATTTACCATGCAAATATATGAAAGTCACTAAAAAATTTTGTTATGGTAAAAAAAACTCCAGAAAAATTTGCTAATGGTTATTTTCAACCAATCCCAAAATCTTGCAGCAACAAAAAATTTTCTGTATGAAAGTTTGTGGTGGATCCCACTGCTTAAAGCCACCAGCTTTTCTTCAACACAAGCTCTGAAACTGTAGATGGATGGACTCAAACCGTTTTTCATCAACTTTCTTTCTCTTTTTTAGTGTTTTGAAGATGTGCCCACCACTAAAGGAACAAACTTGAAAAAAAAAAAAAAAGAGGAAAAAAAAGAGAGAGAGAGAGAAAGAGAGAAAAAGAAAAATGCATGAAATTGGGTCTGAGCTGATTTAATAAGAAGTGAATCAATTAACCATGAATGATCTCTTGTTATCAATCCCTTAATAGAATGAGATAAAGGCTCCTCAATCCTCAACAATGGACAAGAAAGGAAAAAAGTAGATGAAGGGAAGAAAGGGAAGACGTACCAAGGCTTTCTCGAGGTTCTGTTGTTCTGAGCCGGCGATCTTATTCCAGCCTGCGAATGTGAAGATTGCTTGAGTTCTTGGCGCTGCAGAGCTTTATAACAACTAAATAAAAGAACAAAATGGTAACCATTCCCATCCATGGTCATTGGCCATCTGTGGTGATTGGCAAAAGATGCAGAAATTCCACAGCTCGCGCGTAGAATATTTGCCACATGCCCACGTCGGGTTTGTTTTGTTCCCTTTGACTTTTCCACATTCAAAGCCGACGGGCCAGGTTATTATCGACATAAAAAAATGTTAAAGTTACTTTATTTTTTATTTTTTAAAATAAATATTTAATAAAATTAATTTATTAATTAATTTTAATTTATTAGTTAATAAGTATTAATTTTTTTATTAATTATTAATCATAATAATTAATTATTTTTGTTAATTAAATTAAATTAAATTAATATTTCCAAAAATAATATTTTATATTTTTTAATGCTTGACATCTTTTTTTTATAAAAACAATGATTAATAAATTAATTTTATTAATTATTAATAATTAAAAATTTAATTTTTAAATTTAATAAACATCCTACCTCCCTTAACGAGGCGCGACGGGTGGCTTGGTTGAATTCAATGCCTTGACATCTCATTTTGATAGGTGGGGTTACCCTGCCCCCTAACCTACCATTCTGTTTTCCTTCTGTACTTTGAATTAAAAAAAAAAAAAGCTAAAGAAATGTATAAGATCCTACATTTACACTTAATTTGTAATTAAAGTCTCAAAGTTTTATCATACTCAATTAAAGTGAAAGTGGTTAGGTTTGCTAAACCTAATGTTAATCCCCTTAACTCTAACTTGTAACATAACAAAAAAATGGTCTTTAGATTTTTACTTTTAGCTCTTAATTACTTTAAAACTTAAAAAAAGAAAATCTTAAATTACACTCAAACTTTTTTATCTTGGGAAATTTTTACGAGAAGCACAATTAAAAATTAATGTGGCAGGTATGCGGATGTCTTTTTTTTGTTATTTTTTTTATGAATGGATTACTATTATATAAATATGTGAAACTCACTCAAAAAACTTGTTATAGTAAAAAAAAACTCAAAAAAAATGTTAGTGTTTAATTAAATTTTTAATGAAATTATTTAGAGGATAATTAGTAAATTATTTCATATAATTAAAATTAATTGTTATTTGTGGGTTCTACAAAAGTTTTAGAAGTTTTTTGAAGTTTTTAAAAGTTTTAGCGTTATTGAAAGCTAAGATTGAAAGTTAAGAGATTATATTTTTTGTTATTTTTTAAGTCACTAAAAATCCTTAAACTTTGTAAAAAGAGTCATGATCATCCCTATGCCTAAAAAAAATTTATAACAATCCCTTAACTTTGCAAAAAAAACCAGCCATCATCCTGTTATTAACAGACATTATAAAATCATTCATCTCCCTATCTAATGCTCTGTTATTTTAACACTTCTATCTAACATGGTAATTACCGGCCCCAATGAAAACTTACAAAAGCGAAAAATTGCATAGGGTGTCAACAATGCAATTTAGGTATTGACTCTTCCACTTCCAATTTCATTCAGCATGTATTGTTTAAAGTTTTAATATATAGTCTTTTGATGCTAATAAATTGATAATTATATATTAAGGTCAAAATATTTAAAAAATAATGCCCACATAATGAATATGTTTTAGAAAAAAAATTATATATTTACAATACATCATGAGAAGCTAGTTTTCACATCTCATTTGCAAATTATCGACACCATGCCTTAAAATTTTCAACTGATGCCAGGGATGGAGTCAAAAAATTCAGTTAGGG